CTGATCAAACCTATCATTCTTTTCAGTGGTAAGAGTAAGCAAGGACCCTTGGACACCCACCTTATTGAGGGCAAGCCACTGATAAGAGTAGCAGGAGAATCCTGTCTTATCAGTGAATAGTCTGATATAAGATTTGTGAGGTTTCAAGGACACCTGCCTTATCATTGATTAAACCTAACGTTCTTTTCAGTGGTAAGAGTAAGCGAGGACCCTTGGACACCCACCTTATTGAGGGTTAGCCAGTGATAAGAGTAGCAGGGGAATTATGTCTTATCAGTGACTAGTCCGATATAAGAAGTTGTGAGGTTTCAAGGACACCTGCCTTATCAATGAACATCCTAGGGCTTAGTAAGTGATAAAAGTAGTAAGGATCCTTGGGTACCCACCTTATTGAGGGCTAGTCAATGATAAGATGTGTTTGGCACACAGGGGATAAAATGTGCTTGGCACACAGGGGCCAAGGCCCACTGAGTTGCCTTTGTCCAACAAAGCTCCAGTAACAAGTGGATATATCATATATCCTGAATGGTCTACCATAGCACCGCCAACTTTCTTCATAATCTGCTTTGTTCAGTTCTAACTATCTATGATTCTACTGAAAGGGGATAAGTGAAATCTTGCCTCAGAGAAAGACTATCAATTCATCTGATTCCTTTCCATGAGATTCTTTCTACAAGTCGGATTAATGATGTGTTCATGTGTGTTAGGGGAAGGATGGGAACTCTGATAGGGTAATCCCAAAGGGGATAGGGATAAGGATAGTGAAAGGGGTATGAAAAGTTTGTTGTGAAAGTAAAAAGGGAGTGAATTATTATTCACTACTTGAAGCGGAATGGGCAACAACCCAAACAATTAGTTAAGAATAGTTAGAGTCAGACAGGGAACACAGAGTCTAGAAGGAACTTTCTAGATCTCTGTTAGGAAGAGAGATGCTAAGATTCTCTTGGGCTGTGTTGTGTCTAAAGGTTTCGACACTTCGGAGAACTGACGGGGAAATCTGTAAGAGCAGCAATTCTGTTATCTCTGGATAACAGGTCGGTAGAACTCCGACTCAACTTCCACTCATGGCTTGGTATCCACTCCTAAGACAAGACCTAGGAAGGGAACATATAAATCTTCTCCCTATATCTATGCCTAAATTGTCCAAATCACACTCAGGAGTCTTCAAAATGTGTGGGGCTGGGGTAAAATAGAGTCAGGGTTAGGAAGGAATGTTGTTTTCAAGGGTTTGGGGCATGAGTGGCATGTTGTGAGTGGGTTAAAGGTTGACACTCGTAGCACATTCTATGTCTGCATTTGTATATGTGTATGTGTTTTCCTGCATCTGCGCAGGTGTTGGACATTTGTACTGTCTCCTGAGTTTGGGATCTTCTGGAAATTCGGGCAAAGGAACACGACAATCGTGAAAGTGAGGTCCACCGCTCATTCAGCTCCCCTGATTTACATACATATATATATTTATATATACTTGTGAATGGGATCGTAGGCTGGTCGGTACCTAGGAAGTCATTTTGTCTGGGACTTCTTTTGAGAAGAATGAGAGATTACTAAAGGCTTGACTCTGACATTTTTATAAGGTCAACAAAGGAAACATAGAATCATTGTCTTAAACTAGCTAAGCGTGGAAGACTGTCCGAGAAGTCGACCTGATTAGATAGTCTGTCCGGAGAGTTAGCATCTCGGGGCTCGACATACGGGTTTGTCTTAAGGCGTTCTACCGCGCGTATGCCTATGCTACGGCTATCGAGAAAGCGCCCTCGGCTGGCCTACCTCTGCGATTGCATATAAAAGCCTTCGTATGTGGGTCAGTAGCTCGGCAGGGATACGCCCACCTAAGGAATGGTGACAGCTCCCGCAGGTGGAGGTATGTTGTACCTCGCGGGATCCCTAACCTGTCGTAGGGAGTCGCGAGAGGTATAGCACGCGCGCACGGTCGGAGTTGGTATGGCATAAAGTGACAAAATGAAACTCCTGCGTGACACGACCGTGAGGTCCAACACCAAAAACTTTACTTTACGTCTGGGTGTAGGACCGCCGCGCGTGACAGCGGGATGGTCCGGTGGTCGGGTGGCAGGATGGTCATCTGCCCCGCTGGTCAGATGGTAGGGTGGTGGGATGGGAGGATGGGAGGATGGGAGGATGGCAAGATGGCAGAATGGCGGAATGAGAAGATGGGAGGATGGTCGGGGGGCGGGATGGCAGGATGGCAGGAAGGTTGGATGGTCGGGTGGTCGGATGACAGGATAGCAAGATGACATGATTTAGGGTTCAAGGTCATGCAGGGTTTAGGATTTAGGGTTCAAGGTCGGGTCCTCGGATGGGAGGATCGTTGGTTACTGGGATGGTTTGACGGTCGGATGTCAGGATGTCAGGACGGCAGGGTCGTAGGGTGGAGCGGTGACGGTCGACCGTCCGAATGGTCAGATAATGGGGTTATGAAATTGTTAGAACGCAGGATGGCCGGGTGGTCGGATGGCATAATGGAAGGATGGAAGGGCGGCAGGATGCGAGGATCACAGGATGCTTGGATGGTAGGATTGCAGGATGGTCGTATGGTCAGATGGAGGAACGGTCGCGTGGTCGGGTGGCAGGGTTCAGGTTAGGCTGGTCGGATGGCACGATGGTTGGACAGTCCAATGGTCGGACGATCGGATTGTGAAATTGCTGGAAGGCGGTATGGACGGATTGTAGAATTGCTAGAAGGCGGGATGGTCGGGTGGTCGGGTGACAAGATGGTCAGCTGCTCGGCTGGTCGGATGGTTGGGTGGTGGGATGCGAGAATGGGAGGATGAGAGGATGGAAGAATGGCGAAATGGCAAGATGGGAGGATGGTAAGGTGGCAGGATGGCAGGATGGCAGGGTTGCAGGATGGCAGGATGGTAGGACGGTCGGGTCGAGCGGTGAAGCTCGACCATCGTATGGTGGGGTGTTGCGTTGAAGCCCGACCATCGGATGGTGGGGTGCCGCGTTGAAGCCCCCCCATCGGATCGTAGGGTGCCGCATTGAAGCCCGACCGTCCGATGGCACGGTGCAACGACATGGTGATTGCGAGATGGTCGAATGGGTGTACGGTCGGACGTCTGAAGGTACAGGGTTTAGGTTAGGCTGGTCGGATGGCACAATGGTTAGACAGTGTAATGGTCGGACGATCGAATTCTGAAATTGTTGGAAGGCGGGATGGTCGGATTGTATAATTGTTACAAAGCGGGATGGTCGGGTGGTCGGGTGCCGGGATGGTCAGCTGCCCGACTGGTCGGATGGTCGGGTGGTGGGATGGGAGGATGGGAGGATGGTAGGATGGGAGGATGGCAGAATGGCGGAATGGCAAGATGGGAGGATGGTCGGGCGGCAGGATGGCAGCATGGCAGGGTTGCAGGATGGCAGGATGGCAGGACGGTCGGGTCAAGCGGTGAAGCTCGACCATCGTATGGTGGGGTGTCGCGTTGTAGCCCGACCATCGGATGGTGGGGTGCCGCGTTGAAGCCCCACCATCGGATGGTAGGGTGCCTCATTGAAGCCCGACCATCCGATGGCGCAGTGCAACGACATGGTGATGGCGAGATGGTCGAATGGGTGTACTATCCGACCTCTGAAGGTACAGGGTTCAGGTTAGTCTTGTCGGATGGCACGATAGTTGGACAGTCTAATGGTCGGACGGTCGGATTGTGAAATTGCTGGAAGGCAGGATAGTCGGATTGTAGAATTGCTACAATGTGGGATGGTCGGGTAGCCGGTGCCGGGATGGTCAGCTGCCCGGCTGGTCGGATGGTCGGGTGGTGGGATGGGAGGATGGTCGGGCGACAGGATGGCAGCATGGCAGGGTTGCAGGATGGCAGGATGCCAGGACGGTCGGGTCGAGCGGTGAAGCTCGACCATCGTATCGTGGGGTGTCGCGGTGAAGCCTGACCATCGGATGCTGGGGTGTCGTGTTGAAGCCCCGCCATCGGATGGTAGGGTGCCTCGTTGAAGCCCGACCATCGGATGGTGGGGTGCCGCATTGAAGCCCGACCATCGGATGGCGCGGTGCAACGATAGGGTGATGGCGAGATGGTCGAATGGGCGTATGGTCGGATGTTTGAAGGTTCAGGGTTCAAGTTTGTCTCGTCGGATGGCTCGATGGTTGGACAGACAAATGGTCGGATGACCGGATTGTGAAATTGCTAGAAGGCGGGATGGCCGGGTGGTCGGGTGGCAAGTTGGTCAGCTGCCCTGCTGGTCGGATGGTAGGGTGGTGGGATGGGAGGTTGGGAGGATGGCAAGATGGCAGAATGGCGGAATGGCAAGATGGGAGGATGGTCGGGCAGCAGCATGGCAGGATGGCATGGTTGCAGGATGGCAGGATGGCAGGACGGTCGGGTCGAGCGGTGAAGCTCGACCATCGAATGGTGGGGTGTCGCGCTGAAGCCCGACCATCGAATGGTGGGGTGTCTCGTTGAAGCCCCGCCATCGGATGGTAGGGTGCCGCGTTGAAGCCCCACCATCGGATGGTGGGGTGCCGCATTGAAGCCCGACCATCGGATGGCGCGGTGCAACGATAGGGTGATAGCGAGATGGTTGAATGGGTGTACGGTCGGATGTTTGAAGGTTCAGGGTTCAGGTTTGTCTGGTCGGATGGCACGATGGTTGGACAGTCAAATGGTCGGATGGTCGGATTGTGAAATTGCTAGAAGGCGGGATGGTCGGGTGGTCGGGTGGCAGGATGGTCAGCTGCCCGGCTGGTAGGATAGTAGGGTGGTGGGATGGGAGGATGGGAGGATGGGAGGATGGCAGAATGGCGGAATGGAAAGATGGGAAGATGGTCGGGCAGCAGGATGGCAGGATGGCAGGGTTGCAGGATGGCAGGATGGCAGGGTTGCAGGATGGCAGGATGGCAGGATGGTCGGGTCGAGCGGTGAAGCTCAATGATCGTATGGTGGGGTGTCGCATTGAAGCCCGACCATCGGATGGTAGGGTGTCGCGTTGAAGCCCCGCCATCGGATGGTAGGGTGTCGCGTTGAAGTCCCGCCATCGGATGGTATGGTGTCACGTTGAAGCCCGACCATCGGATGGCGCGGTGCAACGATAGGGTGATGGCGAGATGGTCGAATGGTTGTACGGTCGGACGTTTGGAGGCACAGGGTTCAGGTTAGGCTGGTCGGATCGCACGATGGTAGAAGGCGGGATGGTCGGACGGTCAGATTGTGGAATTGCTAGAAAGCGGAATGGTCGGGTGGCAGGATGGTCAGCTGCCCGGCTGGTCGGATGGTAGGGTGGTGGGATGGGAGGATGGGAGGATGGGAGAATGGGTGGTTGGATGGCCGGATCCCCGGATGTTAGAATGGAGGATGGCTGGATGACAGGCTGGCTGGACCGTTGGATGGTTGGATGGCGAGATGCCACGTTCGTAGAACGGACTGATGCTGGAAGAAACTCACGGTCTTGTGGTTGGATGGCGTTGGGGAAGAATGTTTGGGTGAGGGGATAGCAGAATGGTATCAGGTGCCGTTCCGACGCTCGGTCGTCACTTGGTCAGGCTGCGTCACGAACCTCGACTGCCAGATGGTCGGGAGTCGTGTTGAGGCTATACTGAAAGATGGTCGTGTGTCGTGTCTGCAATTGATCGTTACGTTGGCGGTTGTTGTGCCGCAGCTAGACCGGGGGGTGGTCGTGTGCCAGAGCTAGATAATCGAGTGACCCAGTATCGTGCCAGACACTGGCCATCAAATGGGGGGGGGGGCATCGTGCGGACGCTGGATCATCAGATGGTCGGGTGTGGTGGCTGCGGTGGACCGTTAGACGGGCGGGCGTCATACCAAAGCAGGAACATAACATAGCAGGGTCTTGTGCCAAACACGGATATGATTGTCGTTTTGTTACTCCTTCTGTGCTTTCGTTTATAACTGCCTTGCAGAAACTATGCACACTCCAGCCCGCCACAGTGAGAAAGGGAGTTGTCCTCATGGCTCACAACCATCGGTTCAATATCCGAGGAAATTTGCGACACCTCAACCAGTCTCCAACGACGAGAGCAGATCCCCTTCACTATACGGGGGAAGTTGCAAGCGCAGGCCATCGGCGCTGTCCGTGCAAAGTCCTCGTAGAAAGCCACAACTTTCCCAAGGGTGTGGTCCCCCATCCGACAACGTAGTTCGACGATTGAACCTCGACAATATTATTAAAGAGCTTCGTCAAACCCTCGCTGCTCCGCCTTCGGCTGGCCTGAGCGCAGAATGTACACTGCATACTATCGACAAGTGTGATGCTGGTCGTCACGACGATGGTCACATGGACGATAAGACACGACAAGAACCCGTGTCCGATGCACATATTGTTCCTGTGTATGGCAATAAGAATACTGCCATGGGAAGGGGACGCAAGTTGGTGGCCTTGTTGACCGATTTGGGGTTAGAGAGAGGCAAACGAACATACACATATAGAAAGCGGAAGAGAAGGAGTGGCTCATTGGAAGAAACAATGGTTGAGAAATGCACCATGGAGGAATGTTGTGCAGTGTTAAATAAAAAGGGTTGTGCAAAACTGCAGTGTTGTTCAAAGATGACAGTAGAGGAGGTGTATAGGGCGAAAATGAGATATACATCACTGGCTCCAGAGGAGAGGCGGAAATGGTGGATAAAACAATTGGACAGTTTCACGTGTATTGAAGATCGAAAGAAGGTGGTGAAACCAGTCGTAGAAAAGCACAGGGTATGCGTCCAGGTGTGGTGTTACATAATTGGTTTCTCGATAAATACTTACGCATTCTATAAGGAATTGCATGAAGAGGGCAGGTTGCTACCTCTTCACGGTAGGAAAGGATATTCCACAACATCCGCGACTCATGCTATGACTTTCAAAACATTTGAGACAATGATAATGGAGGAGGGTGATGCGATGCCTGACCAGACTGACATGAGCAAAGACTACGAGATAAGACCACGGGTCAAACTACCTCCAACTTACGCAACAAAAAAAGACGTCTATGACAGCATCAAACGATGGTTGCAGAAACAGGACATAGACTGTTGCTCATTGCAAGTCTTCGGGAGTATATGGCATGACTTCTTCCGGCATGTTCACCTTGCTAGGTCGACAGACTACGCTAGATGCAATAACTGCCAAAAACAAACAGACCTGATTGAAGGGGCCAAGCCAGATGCGAGGCGCAGTCTTGCTGCAAAACTGAATCGCCATAGATTGTTGCAAGAGGCGCATCGGAAGCACTATGACATATGGCCGGCCAAATCTAGGTTCATGAGAGAAAAAAACTTGTGCATCATAATTGATGGTATGGACCAAGCAAAAACTCCCATTCCTAACACAGCTAGGAACCGCACATCAAAAGCAATGGATAACCGCACGATGATGAAAACAAACCTCACGGGCATTCTCGTGCATGGGAGGAGTCCACACATTCTTGTGCACACATGGTTTCCTTTATTCCTCCATGGTCCGGATTCGATTGTGTCTTCGATCTCAAAGGTGTTGAGAGACGTACAAAGGCAGTCGGGAGTGTTGCCTCCTGTTTTCAGACTCCAAGCGGACAACTGCGGTAGTCAAAACAAAAATAGATATGTGTTCGTGTACCTAACATTATTGGTGAAGTTCCTCATTTTCGAGGTTGTTGAAATGAGATTTATGATAGTGGGTCACACGCATACGGACATCGATGCAAAGTTCAGCTTATTTGTTAGAAAACTAGCGGACACAGATGCTTACACGATGGACGAGTTGTTCACCGCACTTAGAAATTCCACAAAGGATGAGGTCGATTGCACGTTTATCAATGAGATGGCGGATTGGAAAGGTGCAAAGACTTCCTCGACATGCGTATTGGTGGTCACTCCACTCCGCACTTATATGGACAGAGACAACCCTGCGATGGTATACAAAGAACATTGCAATGACAGTGAATGGATGGCGGAGGGCGGAACAATTTATTGGTTCAAGTAGGATGGATATGGGAGATGGGCGGGACCGTATTTTCTGTTGGAACCAAGTGGCTTTAAGTTGAACTTGGACAATGGAGACTTTGTCAAACGTCACCAAGGTGTGAGTGCCTTGGTCGAGGAGTGGAAAGACGAGCGACCAGAATTCGAGAAACAAGAAGATTGGAAACGTCAGTTGAAAACAAGTTGTCTGAACTACTGGGAGAAACAGTTAGACATGCTTAATAAGCTGGAACAGGAAAAAACCTCACAACTCGTTCTGTTGTCAACTTCGTTCTGGCCAACGCCGATGACGGAAAGCGTAGAAGAGGTGAAGGTGGAACTTCCTATTGTTGATTCGTCGCCGAGGAAGCAATGTTTCGTAGGTTATAAGAGTGATGCCCCGAAACCGGAGTTCGACCTGGCAAAGCATGCTGATATCAGTTCTTTCGTGGTGATGCACGCTCCAGACGAGAATGCGGACAAAGAAGTTAGTTTTTGGGTAGGACGTGTGCAAGAGAAATCTGAGAACTCAGAGCAAATTCTCATAGAGTATTCGAGACCACAGGGCAAAGAGACCGATATGTGTAAGTTGTACGAAGACGCGTGGAACAAAACATGGCGAATTGAGAATGAATCTTCGCCTGGATGACAAAACGTAATATGTGTGGCGTGGGGATGGAAAAGCGAAAAGAAAAGCAAAACCGGATTAAAAATCAGGAAGAGCGACGCATTGAAGGCAATCACATCGTTGGCAACAGTAGATCACGCACGCTGAATGCACAAAATGACTATTGCATCATCTTACGTATATGACATTTGTTTATTCGGAACAGCGAAATCGTTGCAACCCCGATGGAGATGGACATCGAACAAGCATGGCGTCGCCGAGCGGATAAGTGAGGGAAGGTGATTCAGTATGATGACCTTATGCCTTACCGGGCAAGGCAAAGGATGACCGCTATCGGCCTGCAATCAATGGACGAATCTATGTTTTATCCGATAATGAAATTCTGGACACTGAAGATGCAATGAAAACTTTTCAAACTGGCTAACACATGCGAACCTGCCGCGATGTATAAGAAAGAGGACAGCACCGTCAAATGGAAAAATGTATATTATGGTTCTGGGCCTTCTGGATGGCTGTGCGATTCGCGCTTTCGTGAAGGAGGAAAAATTTTAGGTATTGCTTTCGGAGCACATCATGGAATGACACATTGTGCGACATGCATCGATAGAAGCAGACTGTTGGCCGACAAAGAGACGGACGATGAAGAATTTTGGATATCCCGTCACGTGATGCGTTTTTGTAGTGTGATTAGAGACGCAATGCTGCTTTATATTAGCAAAAGAACATGCATTGTTGTAACAAGTGCTACAATAGTACTTCGTTGGGTGTATACTACAGGGATAGTGCAGAAAACGAAGAAGACAAAGTTAAAAAAAAACATCCGTATGAAACAACCCCCAGAGGATGAACGGGCAAATCCCATTTGGTGTTGCTCGCGTGAACAGATTGTGTTCCGCGAAGACATCTATGTCTTCAAGGTGAGTAATCACATCGATTATTGCAGGCTGGTATGGTGGTAGGACGCCAACTTCTTTGAATGGTGGGATGGTGGGATGATAGATTATTCGGTGAGGAATGTTGGCGGGATGGTGGGATGATCGATTGTAACATGGCAAACTGGTATTGTGGTAGGATGCCAACTTCTTTGAATGGTGCAATGGTAGGCAAGTGAGATATCAGGGTGGAAGATCGACAGGGTGGCAGAATGGGAGGATGGCCGAAAGGTATGATGGTCCGTTCGCTGAATGGTACGATGGTACGATCCTAGTGCGACAGGGTGCAAGGTGGCGACATAGGAGGATTGTCTGTCACCGTGGGACGCTCGACTATCGGACGACAGGGCGTTATGCCAAAGCTCGACCATCGCATGATAGAATGGTGTAATGTTAGTGGTGTGTGGATGTGGAACTTATAGGATTGTTCATTGTGATGTCGGCGGGACGGTAGGCACGCAGGTTGGTAGATTGCTACGATGGTGGGTTGATAGGGCGACAGGCTATGGATTGCCATAATGGCGATGGTTGACCATCAGTTGATAGGGTGTCATGTCGAAGCGCGACTTTCAGATGGTCGGGCGTCGTGGTGAAGCTCGACTATCAGATGGTAGGGTTTCATGGCGAAGCTCGACTATCAGATGGTCGGGCGTCATGGCGAAGCTCGACTATCAGATGGTAGGGTGTCATGGCGAAGCTCGACTACCAAATGGCCGGGCGTCATGGCGAAACTTGGCTCTCAGATGGTCTGGTGTCATGGCGAAACGTAACTATCAGATGGTAGGATGGGGGATGGTATGGCAGCGGGATGGTGGGATGCCCGATTGTAGGATAGGAGGATGGCGGGATGGTCAGGCAAACCCGAAGAACTTATGCAGGTCGCCAATCACTGTAATGATGACGGTCGACTACAAGATGGCGGGATGGTAGAGAAAACGTAGACAAGTGCATCATGGCGAAGCTCGACTACCAGATGGTCGGGCGTCATGGCGAAACTTGGCTCTCAGATGGCCGGGTGTCATGGCGAAACGCGACTATCAGATGGTAGGATGGGGGATGGTGTGGCAGCGAGATGGTGGGATGCCCGATTGTAGGATAGGAGGATGGCGGGATGGTCAGGCAAACCCGAAGAACTTATGCAGGTCGTCAATCAATGTAATGACAACGCTTGACTACAAGATGGCGGGATGGTAGAGAAAACATAGACAAGTGCTACGTGATGGACATGTGTGCAAGGGGAACGCTCGATCATAGGATCATGGACCGTGACAAAGCTCGACCATAAGATAATAGGATAATAGGACGACATGATAGTGTGTTGGTGGGATGGTGGGATGGTCAGTTGTAGGACGACGGGATGATTTTGCGGTAGGATGGTGTTTGGCTACACTGGTGGGATTCATATAGAATCTCGTGGATTTGGCAAACCTATCAAAGTTTTGTGCCAGGTGTATTGCTGGTTGTGACATTGTTCTTAAAGATATCGAGGGAAGAGTCATAATGGGTTCCTATTTTGAATGTAGAGAAGACGAAACATGTGTAACGGTTATGTTATCATGTATTCATTTGTATGCGTATTTGTGATGTGAGTTGGCCTCTTACTCATAACCGAGGGTGGGGGGGGTCTTATATCAAAGGCTGTCAAAGCTTGTGAAATGTTAAAAATGCATATGGCAGTGACTGAATGTGCATGGTAGTGACAAAGTGTGAAACATATGCTACATTATTTTCGTCGTGCTTATTCTCATATTGCAGGATGAATGTCAACCACAATGCATTGCACGACAACGCATCATCGACCGACACTTCATCACAAGGCAACAATTCATAATATTCGACAAAAATATATGGGAACATGATATCGTCAGCATAGACTCTCGCTATTTGCACCTTGTAAAAAATGTCACGCCGGACGGTGAAATTGCCATGTCTTGGATCATGGGAGGCAACGACATATAGCTTCATCGCGACGACAACAAAGACTTCTGGTACTTGTACTCGTTGGAGCAACAAGTCGATGTGGAACCCGACGTTGAGAACAGTACTGAAGACCCTGTGACACCAATAAAGATGATTGGCGCGTGGAAAACATTGTGTATAAAGCAGCAATGGTCAGAGCGGGACAGGAAATACGCCAATAAATATGTTTGGTTTTGCCTCGGAAAACTGCACATGTCGTTCCCGATCTTTGTAGATTTCTATGGTCGAATCCGGGTGTTGAATCGTAACACCACCGTTGTGACACTTTTCACAGCGGCCAAGGTGAACGATAAAAAGATCAATACGTTGTTCCTTGCTAAAGAGGAGTTTTACAATATCACACTCACATCTCAGGAAGCATTCAACGACCCTACACTCGCTGGATCGCATGGGCGCTTCAAAACTCGAATATCCCATGATCATGCTCTAAGGAAAGAACTCGACATGAGGAGAGAATGCTTAGTGCACAGTCAGGTTCATTATCTGTTTGACAATTATGATGAGATATCATGGACCGTCGAACATCGGGATGACACGTTGGACGTTCTTTTCGATAGAAAAAAGTACGCACGTGGAGGGAAGAAAGCAGTGACATTTTCCACTCGTTGGAGCAGAGACGTGTACGACTATCCTTATTGTGGCAACGGACACATTCATCTTTAACATAGTTTTCAGAGCACAAAGTTTTGTACTAGATGAACCATGAAGTCTGAAACGAGGCCGAATTTCATAAATTTATTAGCATCAACGACGTTGTAAATAAAATAGACATTCACCGCTCACAGAGGCGTATAATAGAAGAGCACGCAGGGACGGTCGGATCGAGCGATGAAGCTCGACCATCGTATGGTGGGGTGTCGCGTTGAAGCCCGACCATCGGATAGTGGGGTGTCGCGTTGAAGCCCCGCCATCGGATGGTAGGGTACCGCGCTGTCGGCGTGAATACCCTTACACGGGTATCCGCCCTGGTTTTTGCAAATGACAGAAGAAAGGTCGGTTCATAATTTGATTATACTCTGCAAAGTTGCGGGTGTGGTTGGTACGCTTTGACTGAATGGCTGACTACAAGCAAATTGTGTGTGGGCGCGCAATATTGAGGCGCGCGTTGTCGCGCCCCCACTGCTCCAAGGGTCCGGTGAGAAGTCCTTCCCCGTACCGAGCTAAGTGGGTTGATGGACTGGCTGGCTGTCACGCATGATTTTTTATAGGTATAAAAATAGAGGTTTATTTAGAGGCAGTGACACTTTGTCATACAGCCGAGTAGTTAGGGTTATCCCTCCTGCCAGTGGCGACACGGCTTAGAGTGAGGCGTTCGGGTTTATCGCCGGCACCTGACCCCGTTTAAGATAGACCCAAGGTCACCGGAGTCCCTATCATTCAGTAGTCCTTCAAGTTGCCTTGAGTGTAACCTGTATAAAATAAGGAGGAAAATAACAAACATGCATCATAGAACAATTAACACTGACGAAATGAGAAGACCAGAAACCACACTCTGCAAGAGTACGACCAGAGATACGAGACTGAAGAGTAGTACACTGAGTATGCAGGGATCAGCCATTGGAGGGCTGCAGTCACTAATAAATAATAATGTCGTAATACATCAATAGTGACTGAAAAGAGAGAACCTCAATCAATGATAATAAGCGGTACCCCCTCGTGAGTGAGTGTTGCCGTCTGGGACTCCCTGTCTGGCACCTTGTCATTGGGAACCCGCGTGGCTATAGACTCTGGAACCACATAGTTGATATCGAGAGACGCGGCTGGATCAATCTTGCAGATATAGGCCATGCATCTAACCATCTCCTCGTCTGCAACGCTCCTGAGATAAAGCTCCTCCGCAAGAATGATATCGCCTGTAGCTCCAATCAATATCTCAATCCGCCCTCTCCCACCAGAGTAGATGTAGGANACGCTCCTGAGATAAAGCTCCTCCGCAAGAATGATATCGCCTGTAGCTCCAATCAATATCTCAATCCGCCCTCTCCCACCAGAGTAGATGTAGGATACCTCGAGGAAATGATCTCCGTAGAGAGGCTTTCGATAAGCCTGCATAACAAAGTCTGTCCCAACCAAATGACTATAGCCATCTTCGAGATATGGGACCGGACCCTCCTCTCTTGAAAGACCAATAACTGTCTCAGACCTAGGGTCGTCTGACATGTAGGAGTCAATCACCCTCAAGAAGATATCGTGCAAGAAGATACGCAACCCTCCTCAAAGTCGATCTCCGTCGTCATCGCTCACCGGTCTCCAGCGCTCCTATCACTGTCCACAAACTCAGCCTCTGTGAGTGTCCCAGTCGAAAAAGTCGCCCAGATCAATGTCACTCACAGAGCCGGGCACCAAGTCCGACTCATCTGTCTCTGATCTCTGGACGCATGTAGTGATTGGGACCCCGGATCTGGCTATCTCTCTCCTAATCCGGTCGTCCTTCCGCCTCTTGTCCTTGCTGCGAGACTAACTAAGGGGCATGTGGTTGCA